ATTTGGCTATCAATTAAATATCAAAACTTAAAGAACTTTAATAATCTTCAGATTTGATTGATTATATATATAATAATTATGTAGATATTTAAATATAAATTATTTTATAAATTCTATTTAAATTTTCAAAATATATATTCTAAAGATGTTGATTTATGTAATGTTAAATACAAATCAAAATCTTTAAAATGCATAATTTGATAATCCTAAAAGTTATTGAAACATGCTAATAAAGACTAACAAAATACTTCAATAACAACATTTTGTTTCTTGAATTATTACTATTACTTATAAGTTATGTTATCACATTTTCTCCTCTTTAAAGAATATTATAAATGTTTGAGTTGGCAATATTTTTTGCATTATTAACAGAATTCAAGGATATAATTATACTAAATATAAATAATTTGATAATATAAATTTAATCATACAAAACATATAAAAAATTACATTTACAATACTTAAATTATAATAAATTAATAATAGATTAATAAAGTAAATTAATATTACCTTCAGGACTAGGATCTTCCTCATAAATAGGTTTAACAAAACCACTGAAATATAACTCAATATTCTTCTCAATGAGACCACCATCAAATGCACACAGATGAGTATTTCTGTCATACACACTAGAAAGAAATTTAACATTAAGTTAATTAAAAAATGCATATTTATTTACAACTATAATCAAAAACTTATTCGCATAAGAAGACAAACATAAAATCATATGTTGCATGCCAAATCATTTTTATAAATAATTTAAATGTTACTTTTATTTTAGTTTTACAAATTAGTCAGTATATATCAGGATGTTCCATAAATATCAGCCATTTAATTAGAAAAATCTTTTATAAAAACTATATGAACTAACACAATTTTTTTAAATACAGTCTATTGTTATCTAGGATCTATAGCCATCTTTCAGCCAACTTTTGTATTCCTCATTTATACCACGCTATTTTTTGAAGCAAAAAAATCCTCACATTCCAATCTCAACTTACTTCAAATTTTGAAAGTGTCATCCACATAAAAACTGTGCCATTGACATGAAAAGGTAGTAATCTAATGGTATAAGATCAAGACTATAGGCAAGCAGGGGTCACCCTGGAAAATTTAAAAATATCACCACCATTTTGCCAGTTTTTTATTTTTTCCACCACTCCAAATTATTTATTGTCACCAGTTTTTACTTACTAATTAATGCAGGTGCTCGTAACCTTATCAGTTTGGTGCCTGGAAAGTAAATGTAGAGGTGCAATGTAACATGTTCACTAAGTTTCATTCATTAGAGAACCAAATAGCTAGCCCTCTTCTCGTTAACAAAAGGAATCATTTTTGAATAAATTTTTAGTGAATAATTCCAAATAATGCATTTGATCACAATATTTAAACAATATTTCACAGGTTCTGCCATGTCAAAATTTTTGTTTTAGTCTACTGAAAAAAGTCATTCCAAAAAATTCTCCAAATTTTCTATCAGTCAATAAAAAACATCAGGCAGCATTGCACAAAACTGCCTCAACGTCAGTTCCTATTTTTTTGGCCCAAACTTGTCATGTGACATCATGAAATTGCTAAATGTGTGGTGCACGGGACTCCCATCGATGGAAGCTGAACATTTTGCTGTTTTTCCTGAAGTAAGATTTGTGATTGAATTTCATGCTGAATGTCAAAACAAGAGTACTAGGATTTTTATCACCACTTTTATAAAAATATTGCAAAGTGGTGATTTTGGCACTATACAGTGTGACCCCAAGGCAAGGTATGGCAAAGTTCAATAGCATCCTGTTTTTGGATCTCTTTGTTTGTCTTAATGAAATGTATATAGTAATGTGTTAGCCTGTTGTGGAAAAATGTGCAAAAAAGCAAAATATTGCTTGGCCAAAGCAGCATACATACATTCAAGATGAAAGAAATACAGTTCAGCACTTACATTGCAACTATCTAAGACAAACTCATAGTGTACTAAACTTTCAAAAGTTTTCCAAACCCATATCATCATTTTGTATTCAAACTGCCACATTTTATGCAGCTAGCATGGAGCTAAACCATTACTTTTTTACATCTGGATTGTGTAAGAAAATCTATTTTACAACAAATAAAAATCTGGCAGTTAATTATATACTAAAAGTCTGAGTTTTCTGTATTTATAATATGATATTTTATCCAATTTCTGTGGTGTATGAATCAATAACAATAATCTTAACCAAATTCTTTTCTTGAAATCTGATTAACCTGTCCTTACAATTTTCAGGGTCATGACCACTGATCTCAAGCGTTTGACCCAAGGTATCTTGTTACAGTATTGGTATGTTTTTGGAACTAGATGTTGCTAGTCATTATAATCTTTATATTAAAAATAACTTCCAAAATATAATGTTTTTTGTTTTTATATTTATTAATATATCTATTTTGTTTGCGAAAAATAAAAAATAATTTCAGATGATACAACAGCCATGATTACTTTTTTAAAAACATAAAATTTTCATTAGGCTTAACATCAACAAAAATTCAACATGGCGGCCACATGCAATGGAGAAAAATTTCAACATGGGATAGGTTAATATAATTTGCAATTTGTACACCTGAATCTTTTCCAAATAACATAAATCTTTATCTACATTAACAATACATAAGAATTTAGTGTCAACATAAACAAACTTGCCGTTTCCATCTGCCATTTTAAATTTATGTAGTAAAATCTATACTTTGCTGAAAGTGCCAATAGTGACTATAAGATAAGCAAATTGGAAACAAAACAAAATAAGGAAAAAAAAAAACAAATTATTAGATGATTCTATACAAATTACCATCACAACTGTAATTTTATATTAATGTTTGTAAGTACTGTAACCACAATACTTACAAATCATTGTAAACTTGCCTACCATTGTAAATTCTTTCTGAGTATTTTCTAATTTTTTATTTTAGTTTTAAAATATTTTCCATTTTATAATTAGGTGAAAATCAAAATTTAATGGCTGTTTCAAATTTACATGTAAGGTCTTTTTAATTTGAAATGTCATTTTAATATACAAAGCCCATTCCTAAAAACAATATTTTATATATGTTAAAAATAATAGTTTATTAAAAAGTGCTTGTTTTGATTAATTCTAAAAATATTAAACTATTGTCAAACCTTGAGTTTGACTATAGTATTAATACTGTAAGGTCTCTTTTTATGCGGATTTTTTTATGCGATTTTGAAGTCGTGCGGTTTGTATTTCATCCAAATTTTTTTTGGACAAACATACATACATATAGGCTTGTTTAGGAAGCCCGCGTATAGACNAATAATTTTTTAATACTATTAGTTTGTGATACATAATATATTATTTTTTCTGCCATAATAACTAACTTTTTTCTGTACCCCTAAACAACCTATCGCGTACCCCTAGGGGTACGCGTACCACAGGTTGGGAATCGCTGCTGTAGAATAATGAAAGTGCTCTTTTTTTATGTTTATTTTATTCTAATTTGATTAAAAATGCAAAAATAAACATATTAAATTTCACAAACTGACTGTAAATTATCTCCACTTGCACTGATTAACATTCCCTTTGTGTGAAATTTGAAAGAAAGGTCTTATTTTTAAGGTCAGGGTAGATTGTCAGAGCAGCTCACACTGACTGATTAACTACTATTACTACTACTACTACTGTCAATACACCATTAATTATTTTATTGTCTTATAAAGGAAAACTCTCTTCCTGGTTTTAAGTCAGTCAAATTACAATATTATTATTTTATTGTATTCTGAAGAATGTTTTCTTTAACATTTAATTGGCATGCCAGTAACCCATGGTTTCTGGCATGTTGGTCTCCCTCAGTTATATGCAGCATGCAAAAATGTGATATCACAAAAACAAAAATTCAGATGATCAAGGTAGTATATTTTTTTAGCAAGATGAAATGCTGATCCATTTTATAAAGATGTAAAATAAAGCTTGAAAACAAAATATTGGAGGTGGAGTTTTCTGTGAAATAAACACGTACAAAAAATAAAATTCCATTTTTCATGAATCACAACAGAAAGAGAGAGCCCAATTTCCTGATTATTGAAGTCTCAAAACCTCTTTCCAAAAAGACAGTTCAAGGAATACATAAAAAAACAGGTTTACTTCCTCTCACTCACACAATTCCTAGTTCAGTCATTAATGTTATTGTTGTTAATGTTGACAAGAATATAATAAATATTCAGTATCTAGAATGAGATTCCCAAATACCAATGGAACATTTATTACATAATGTAAGAAAGCAACATTCAAAACTTGAAAGATCAGAAGTCTATCAGAAAAATATGAAATTTGCTTCATGAATCTCTTATTGTTATCCATTAATAAACATATGAAATTAACAAATTATTGCTTGTACATCATATATCATTAATTCTTTGATGAAACTATTATTTCCTTTGGGAGTAGCTATGCAGATAATCCAAAAACAATCAAAGAATTAAAAATGACATAACATCTTACATGCATACAATTTCAAATGAAATAATGTGAACATTGGTATTCAACAATAACTATGCAAAAAAACAATAATAGTAAAGATTTTTAACACTCTTTAAATTCACAACCTTATTACAGATATTGCCAAGAAACTTTTCAATAGTATTGTATAAAAAATAAATAAAAATAGTTGGTGAAATGTTGTTTTTGAAACCGTGTTTGATAAATATATTGGACTTCGAACTCAAATGTGTTTATTTAAAATGTGAAATAAAACCAAGTGTTTATTTAAAACTCACATTAGAGTTCGAAGTCCAGTTAATGAAATATAAATAAATAGTTAATCATTTATTAATCAAGACATTCATTTATATAGGATTAAAATCAAAACTCACTGGACATAGTTAATTTAGAAGATACAAGTAACAACATTAATTTTAATATTAATCCAAAATAAATTTTGAATTATTCTCAGTTAAGTAGACAATTAATACTTAGATAGCAATTTTAATTTGTTAAATATATAAAAAATTAAAACTATATTACTCTAGCCATTTCATCTTCAATTTCATCAGATTCTGCATCTTCAGCTTCAGCATCTTGAACTGCCATATTAGGACACCTATGAAATTTGATTAAATTTTATATGAATACATTATTTTCAAGATTATTGCAAATTAAATGACAAAATAATTTACCATAAATCAATACAAATTGATATATCTACAGCTTTCCCTTGATTAATGTGATTAATTAATTCCTTGAAACTAATACAATTTTGATATACATGGTAATCAAATACAGAGATACCTTGGTACTCGACTCAACAATCACCACCCACTAGAACAAATTTTCGGTTAATAACAAATATTTTTATTTTAATAAAAGAAAATAGCAGATTCACTAACACTTTATTTGCCAAGAAAAACATATCTATGGTAGGTAAAGACAGCTATTGAAGCCTCATAAATTAAAATTTCTGCCTTACATAAAAAGGGACTTCCGCAATTAATTTTCCGTGTTAATCAAATCCCATATTAATCAAGGGATACCTATTTGATTTATATATCTTCTAAGTTTTTTAGGTTTTGGTAGAAGCCATTTGTTTAAAATCATTTGTTTTATTTTATATATTTAAAAACTTACTGTTTGATTTCTTTCTCATATAATTACAACATTTTTTATTTCAGATTTTGCTTATTCTTGACTCTATCGCATTCAAAAACATTTTTGCTCATTTAAATATATCCACAAAAACTGGTGTTATTTCAAAAAATAAACAAATAATGATCAGTAGTTTTTCGAATAATTCAATAATTTTTATAAATAGTTTCTGCAAATATACATTAATTCATTATTATCCTGGCTATTTTTTTTTTTATTAATTAAAACACCTTTGGCAGATATTCTACATATTCTATGAAAGGCCAATCTTCCAGCTCCATCTACACCATGCATATTTGCATTTGCTAAGATCCCCAAGGAAGGTACCCAACTTTAAACTTGGTCATAAGTCTGTTTCACCTTCATTTTATGTTGAGAGAATTCTTAATTTTTTATTGAAATATTAATTTATTTGAAAATATTATAACTGATTTAAAGTGATTAATTTGACTGAATTAATAGCAAACTGACAGTATAAAATTTCCATTATTTAAGATATAGTAAAGCCTCTGTTAAATAAACTGTTGAAAGTGAAAGTGTTATAAGTCAGTTTCTCCAAAACACTATGTTGCTGCTGAGTTTCAGTTCCTGACATTATTATTTACATATTTGTTGTAAAGAAATAGGAATATTTACATTACTTACCCACAGGAAAAACCACTTAAAAGTAAATCCATAGTAATTTATAAATTGGTACTTAACTTTAGGTCTAAATTTCTCAATACTGTAAGGTCTCTTTTTATGCGGATTTTTTTATGCGATTTTGAAGTTGTGCGGTTTGTATTTCATCCAAATTTTTTTTTGGACAAACATACATATAGGCTTGTTTAGGAAGCCCGCGTATAGACAGTCTCCAAAAATCGTGGAACGCTCAAAGTTCACTCCATTTGTTCCACTGACATATAACCTTTATGGATGTAAAGGACAGCTACATCTACCTTAATCGCTTTAGTTCCTAGCAAGTTTTGATATAAATGTAATTAAACATAAAAAATACTTAAAACTGAAAAAACGAAAGAAATGCGTTAATTTTGAAGAAAAAGCTTCAAAGTTTAACTTCCTTTGTCTTGCCCTTCTGTGAAATTTAACACCGATGAATCAGTTTATACATCTGAATGACCTTGAACACAGCTGGAGTTGGATTTCCCGGGGCATTCTCATAAACGTCGCGGGAGGACAAGGGTTTAAAGTAGGGTGAAGCTGGCCGTATATTTTTTAATATTTTTAAAAAATTTGGAGACTTAAAAAACATTCCAAAAATTCAAAAAAAAATGTAAAACTATATTACTTTTCAATAAAATTAACTGAATTAAGTTTGAATACAAGTTTATTTTAAGCTTTTATATGAATTTCTTTCAGACATTC